CATAGCTAATCTTCATTTGGCTGAACCATACAAAGGAGATGAAAAAGTAGCTGTGGGTAATGGTAATGGTTTATAAATTAAGCATACTGGTAGACTTATGTTACATACATCTAAATCCACTCTACAAATGAAACATGTTCTTCATTGCCCACAAGAAGCAGTAAATCTTTTGTCAATTAATCGATTTTGTATAGATAATAATTGCTATTTTGTTCTTACTGGCTCTAATTTCTTTGTTAAGGACAACGTCACGGGACGCACGCTGTTAACAGGAAGGAGTGAAGGTGGACTATACCCTATTCAAGTAAATCGACAATCTATTAATAAGTTCCATTCAAGCGTTGCTCTTATGGGTGTTCGTACTACGCTTGATGTTTGGCATGCAAGATTGGGTCACCCTTCCTCACATATCACCAAAGGTGTTGTCAACTCCTTTAATTTACCTGTTTCTAGTTCCTCCAGTTTGAATAATGTTTGTTCATCTTGTTTAATGGGAAAAGCTAAGCAATTACCATTTAATAAGTCCTCACGTGTGATTTTGTCTCCTTTGGATCTTATCATTCAGATGTTTGGGTTTGACCTATTTTGTCTTCTGGAGGTCATCGTTATTATGTCCTCTTTATAGATGATACTCCTGTTTTACATGGGTGTACCCTATTTCTAATAAATCTGATGTTTTCTCCTGTTTTGTGCAATTTAAATCCTTAGCTGAAAATCGCTTCAATACAAAAATTAAAAAATCTCAATGTGATAATGGCGGTGAGTACATTTCTCATCAATTCCAAAAGTTTTTACGTGACTGTGGGATTCATCAACGACTCTCTTGTCCTCATACCTCTCAGCAAAATAGCTTAGCTAAGAGGAAACATAGGCATATTATGGAAGTTTGACTCTCATTGTTGACTCAATCACATTTGCCTACAAAGTTTTAGGTTGAAGCATTTATGACTGCCATTTATCTTATAAATTGCATTCCCACTCCAGTTCTAGATTATGTGTCTCCATACTTTAAATTGTTCGCTGAAGCACCAGATTACTCCTTTTTACGAACTTTTGGTTGTGCTTGCTATCCATTATTAAGACCTATACAAAGCATAAACTAGCTTTTCGTAGCAAACAATGCATTTTTCTTGGCTATTCATCTCAGCATCATGGATATCGTTGCTTGGATCCTTTGTCTCAAAAGATTTATATCTCTCGAAATGTTGCTTTTGATGAACTTAATCTTCTAGCTCGGGTATGGTCCTCCTCCACCTCTCCTGTTTCCACGAGTGATTCCATTACATGTATGTCCTTTGATTTAACTCCATTTTATTCACAATTTATGTTAGAACATGTCTCTAATAATTCACCTGAAAATTCCACCGAACCTTCATCATCTACAATACCCTCTAGTCCATTACGTGAGCAATCTCAAAGTTCTATAATTCAAACACCTCCAAGTCCAATAGAACAACCTCATAGTCCACTACCTAATGCATCTTTATCCAATGACAATGCCTCATCAACTCCTCCCATACAATATGCTTCCCCACATCATATGGTGACACGTTCACGCACAGGCACTCTTCGTCCCAAACATTTCCAGATTTTCATCTATTTTACTCTTCTAACCATCCAGTGTGTGCGTTTAACAGTATGCTTACTTGTGTAGAACTAAGCACTTTCTCTCAGGCTATTGTGTCACAAGAATGGAAGCAAGCTATGCATGAAGAATTTGATGCACTTATGGCTAATGACATATGGGACCTTGTACCTCAGCCTCATGATCAGAACATTATTCGCACCAAATGGGTCCATAAGGTTAAACAGAAGACAGATGGTAGTATAGACCATTACAAGGCAAGGTTGGTGGCACGGGGTTTTCAACAGGTGGAAGGTGTCGACCTTACCGAGACATTTAGTCCTGTGATCAAACCTGCTACAGTAAGAGTGGTGCTAGCTATTTCTGTGTTTGGCCTGTTTTGCAATTTGACGTTTCCAATGCCTTTTTACATAGAACACTAGAAGAAGAGGTTTTCATTGAGCAACCTCGTGGTTTTATTAATCCTATATATCCTAAGCATGTTTGTCGCCTTAAGAAGGACCTCTATGGCCTTAAACAGGCACCAAGGACATGGTTTTTTTGACTCTCCAATATTTTACTTGATCTTGGATTTGTGGGATCTCCTGTTGATACTTCATTGTTTACTTTTCACCATAACAAAGTTCATGTGTTTATTCTCATCTATGTGGATGATTTACTTATAACAGGATCTTGTCCTACCTTTCTCCAGACTCTTACTACACAACTACAAAAGTAATTTGCCTTAAAGGCTCTTGGTGATCTGGGATATTGTTTGGGAATTGAAGCATCTCGTGATGCACATGGGTTACATTTTTGGCAAAGTAAATATATTCTTGATATTCTTCATCGTGCACGGATGGTGGGTGCAAAACCATATTCAGCACCTTGCATTTCATGCAGTAAAATTTCTAGTGTGATTAATGAACAACTTACAGGCAAATTGTTGGGGCTCTTTAGTATTTTACTCTAACTCATCCCCAAATTGCCTATTCTATAAATCAACTATGCCAACATCTTCACTCACCTACTGCTACCCACTGGAAGTCTGCAAAGTGAGTTTTATGATATCTTAAAGGTACAGTTGAACAAGGTTTGTACTTCACAAAAGGGTCTTTAAGCATTCACGCGTATTGCGATTCAGATTGGGCAGGAGATCCTATTGATCGACGCTCCACTACTGGGTATAGAATTTTTCTGGGTCCTTGTTTAGTCTCTTGGTGTGCAAAAAAATAGAATGTTGCCTCTCGATCAAGCACAAAGGCTGAATACCGAGCATTAAACATGTTACTTAAAGACCTACGCTTACCTCTTCTTTTTCCTCCTATAGTTTGGTGTGATAATCAGAGTGCAATTGCACTTGCTGCCAATCCTATTTACCACGCCCGCACTAAACACATTGAAGTGGACTTTCATTTTATTTGTGAGAAGGTGATTAATAGAGATGTCGAAATGAGCTATGTCTCTACCTTAGATCAAGTTGCAGATATTTTTACCAAAGGCTTGACATCTTCTAGATTTCAATTCTTGAAAGACAAACTTATGGTCTGTAACCTTCCCATACGTTTGAGGAAAGATGTTAAGCGATCAATATCAGATCAACCTATCACAGATCATGCTCAGCAATCAGCCAGCAATTAGATAAATGGTAGATAATCAGGGATAGTGTTTCGACAATTAGATATAATTAGCCATGTATAGTTTGATTTACTCTTTACAGCTTTTTTGTATTTTAGGAAAACTCTCTTGCTGTATCTTTCCATTTTTTGTATGAAGTCTATATAATACATTATACACAGCAGGCTATAACATATTGGTTAAGCCTCTTCTTCCTTTATTCTTTCTTGATGGGGATTAGAGACAAAAGTAAGTGTAAATCGCCAACCTTAATAATATCCTCCTCGATCTTCTCTTCTTGAGGCTTCAACCTCTCCTGGTTCTGCATGAACTCTTCTTCGTTAGTAAATAATCTTCCATTTGATCGTGAGGCCACATATTTTAAATAAAGAAAACATAATCTTTAATATTTAGTCAATCTTTTAGTTAAAACGTTCTTTTATGGATTTATACCACTTTCATTCAACAAAGATTTGGCACACAAAAGTAACTAGTCTTACATATCAAAAGTTTCAGTTGCATAGGAGCATTAGGAAATCACAGGTTAGACAATGATTATATGTTCCTGTAACCCCTCTATTATTTAGTATAACCAAGTTAATTTCTCATTCTTCCCACCCCACCACACCCCATATGAAGAAAGAAAGAAATATTTCTCATAATTGAAGGTGGAAGACGCACGTGTATAAAGAATCGATAACCATCATCATATCACATTTACATTGTTTAGAGAAAGAATTTCGACAAGGATGTGTTGAATTGCAAGATTAACCAGGGAAAATCAACCAAAGAAAGAGAAAGAGAGAGAAAACAACTTGAAGAAGAAATTCATATTTCATTGATGATCTTCATTGATAAGATGCAAGCCATATTTATACTAGGAATTGAACGGCTGAAACAACAAACTAAACTAACTAAACAAACTGAAATTAAACTGAATAACAGAATGACTAACTTAACTAACTAGAATTACAACTAACTAACAATAACGGATAGCTTCTTTTCCCAATTAGTTTTTCTTTCATTTTTGACTTCTCTTCATTCCTTTTTATTTCCATGTTTTCAATATGAGATGCAAGACTCCAACACCTCCCTCCCCTCTCAAGATGAGCATGTATGTTAATAAGGTTCATCTTGTGAAGAGTGTGATGAAAAGGTAGAGAGCCAAGAGGTTTTGTGAAAATATCAGCGAGCTGAAGTCTGGATGGAACATAGAAAATTTTGATGACATTCTCATGCAATTTTTCCCAAACAAGATGACAATCAATTTGGATGTGCTTCGTCCTCTCATGATGGACTGGTTTAGTAGCTATGGATAAAGCAAATTTGCTATCAGTATAGATTGAAACTGGCTGGGAATGAGCAGTGTGCAGATCCTGTAGAGCATAAAGAAGCCATTGAACTTCACATGTAGTGGATGTAAGAGCTTTATATTTTGTCCCTGTTGAAGAATAGAATGACTGATAGTAACTTGTTTCTTTGATTTCCATGAAATAAAAGAGTTGCCAAGAAAAATTGCAAAACCAGTGATACTTCAACGAGTGTCAACACATCCTGCCCAGTCACTATCCAAAAAAGCTTTGAGGTTTATATCTGAAGAAGAATGGAAGAATAAACCCTGCCATGGTGTGGCTTTTAGATACCTCAAAACTCAAGTTGCTGCTTGGAAATGGCTGATAGTTGGGGATTTAAGGAATTGGCTGAGAACTTGAACAGAAAATACTAGGTCAGGCCTTGTGATAGTTAAGTATAATAGCCTACCAACAAGTCTACGATAGCTAGAATGATCTTCATACAAGTTTAAATCAGATACAGAAAGTCAGAGAGTTGATTCCATGGGGAAAGCAGCTAGTTTAGAACCAAGAAAACCAGTGTCTTCCAGGATGTCAAGGGCGTACTTCCTTTGGCATAAAGAGATGTCATTTCTTGACCTTGCAACCTCTAATCCGAGAAAATATTTGAGCTGGCCAAGATCTTTGATAGTGAATTTATCATGTAAAAAGGACTTCAATTTCTGGATTTTCACAAGATCATCACTGGCCAAAAGGACATCATCTACATAGAGCAATAAAGGAACATGCAGATTTCTTGATGAACAAAGAAGAATTTGAGTTTCCTTGAACAAAACCATAGTCGAGGAGAGCAAGAGATAATTTTGCAAACCATTGCCTAGAAGCTTGCTGGAGACCATAGAAGCTTGCAAACAGTCTGATTACCCTTTAGTCATGCCAGGTGGCAATTCCATATAGACTTCTTCATGAAGATCTCCGTGTAAAAAGGCATTGTTGACATCTAGTTGGTGGAGATGCCAATTTTTTATTGCAACCATAGCAAGAAGAAGACGAATAGAATTGATTTTGGCCACTGGAGAAAACGTGTCAAAGAAATCCAACCCTTCCTGTTGAGTGTATTACTTCACCACCAAATGTACTTTATAACGTTCAATGGTCCCATCAGTCTTATATTTAATACGAAAAACCCACTTACAACCAATGGCTACCTTGTCTTTAGGAAGAGTAACAAGCTCCCAGGTTTTATTCAACTCCATAGCCTAATTTCATTTTGCATTACAGCTTGCTATTCAGGTATTTGGGAGACCTGTTTGAAGGTTTTAGGTTCCAAGGAGTTTGAGATAAAGGTTGAAAATGATTTATGAGATTTAGATAGTCTATTATCAAAGATAAAGTGCTGAATGGGATAGATGGTGGTGGTAGAAGAAGAACAACCGGGAGAGGAAGAAGTCTGAGATGTAATGCAAGATGAGTAGGCATTACCACAATAATAGTCTTGCAAATTAGAAGGTGTGTGTTTAATTCTGCTGGATTTTCGGAGTGGAAGGGAAATGTCAGAGGCACTGAGTGGAAGAGAAGAAGTGGTGGATGGTTCTTGAACTTGTTGTGTGCTGGAATCACAAAGAGAAGAATGAAATGTAGAAGGAGATAGACTTGATTGAATTGGGATAGATTGAGCTAAAGGTAAGGATGGGCTAGGAAGGCAAGTGTCTGGAAAGAAATCTGAGTGGAGAAATAAGAGAGAATGAGATTCAGAATGAGATGGAAGAACTTTAAAAGGAAATATTGTTTCATGGAAAATGACGCTTCTAGAGATAAATATTCTGTTCGAGGTTAGGTCCATCAATTTATATCCTTTAAAATCAGAAGGATATCCCAGGAATAAGCATTTTGATGCTCTTGAATCGAGCTTCTGTCTATGTTGTGTCAAGATGGAGGCAAAGCAAAGACAATCAAAAACTTTGAGATGGGAAAGATTTGGTGCTTTATTGAACAACATTTCGAAATGAGTTCTATTTTAGAGAAGAGGTGTAGGTATTCTATTGATGATGTGTGCAGCAGTAAGCACACAATCACTCCAAAAATTAAGAGGCATATTAGCTTGAAACATCAGTGCTCTAGCTGTGTTTAAAAGGTGTTGGTGTTTTCTCTCCACCAGGCCGTTTTGTTGTGGAGTTTCTACACAACTTCTTTGGTGTAATATGCCATTTTTATTGTAGAATTTGGAGAGGAAAAATTCAGAACGATTATTAGATCGTAAGGTTTTGATAGGGACAGAAAATTGGGTCTTCACCATTAGACAAAAGAATTTAATTAAAAAGGAAGTTTCTGATTTTGATTTCATCATGTAAACCCATGTACATCTTGTAAAATCATCTACTATAGTCAGAAAATATTTAAAGCCAGAGTAAGAAATTGTGCCAAAGGGTCCCCAAATGTCACAATGAATCAATTCAAACCTTTTCTTCGATTTATTCTGAGATACAGAGAAAGAAAGCTTCCTTTGTTTGGCTAGAGGACATATTTCACATACATGAGTACAATCAATGTTGATAGATGGTTATATTTGCTTAAGAAATGGCATCCTTGAACTAGAAACGTGTCCTAGCCTATATTGCCAAATGTCTAGCTGTGACTAGGTAATGGCAAAAGCAGAAGGTGTGGAAATGATCTGATTGCTGGATTGAGTGTTTGGGGAAGCTTGGATGAAGTGGTTACGTCCTTCTTTCTCAAATGCAATATCAATCATCCTCTTCGTTGATTGGTCCTGTAGAGTGCAATGAGAAGCAGTAAAGGTGAGGCAAAGATTTGATTGATTGGTGAGTTTAGACATAGACAACAGGTTGAAAGAAAAAGTGGGAACACACAAAACATTGTGAAGGAATAAAGAGTCAGATAGACATATAGTGACAATATGAGATATAGGGACCGTGACACCGTTGGGAAGATATATGGATACATTAATGGATTGTGGTGTAGTATGATAAAAGAGGGAAGAACAGATCTTATGATCTGTTGCATCCTTGTCAAAACTCCAAGAAGAATTGGATTTAAAAGAAGAAGCAATAGAATCACGATAAGCAAAATGAGATATAATACCAGAGAAATGAGATGTGGAAGCAAAATTGATAGCTGCTTTGGCATTATGGTAGATAGATCAGATGATGTTGAGTTGGCAAGTGCCATTAGTTTTTGATATTCTTTTGGAGTAAAAGAAAACTTTGGTTGCTCATTACAATTCTGACTGGAAGCTTCTTAATTCGTAAGTGCAGCATGAGCAGATGTATTTCTTTTTCCTTTTGGTCCAGTCTAGTTTGGAGGATACCCATGTAGCTGAAAGCATTTGTCTATTCTATGTCCATTATACCCACAATAAGTGCAACGTAGACCAGATGCCTTGGATCTATCCTTGAATGACTTTGGCTGGTAAGCTTGCTCATTGGGGTGCTTAGCCATCAGTGCATCTGTCTCATTATACATACCAGCATTATTAAGTTGTCTTTGGCTTTCTTCTTGAAGCAAAGTGAAAATACTTTGGCCATGCTAGGTAATGGGACCATGAAGAGCAACTGACTTTTAATAGATGCAAAAGAATCGTTTAACCCAACTAAAAATTTTAGCACATAATCAGATTGCTGTCGAGTTCACAGAAATTTGAACAACTCACGGGTACATGATGCCATTTTTCCACATATACATGTTGGTAATGGCCTATAACTGATATGTTCATCCCATAAAGTCTTAAAAGAGCTAAAATATTCAGTGATAGATGAAGATCCTTGACTTATGCAGCTTAGGGATTTTTCAAGATGAAAGACTCTTGGTCCATCACTTTTTAGGTGCCTGGCTTTGAGTTTATTCCAGAGTTCGACAGCCGATGCCATAAACAACAAGTTGATTCTTATGTCTTTGGTGATTGAATTCATCAACCAAGAGAAAACCAAATTGTTCGTACGCAACCATGCCGTGTGATTAATAAGCTGGTCAGCAGGAGGAAGAGAAATTGTGCCATCAATGAACTTTACCTTGGTCTTGACTGTCAAAGCGATAAATGATTGATCGATTTCATGCGACATAGTTTTCTCCATTGAAAATTTCTGACACCGGCAACGCACCAGGATTGTCACTAGGATGAAGATAATACGGACTTGAGGAATCGTCTGAAGGATTAACGAAAGAATTGATTGAATTTGCAAGAGGATTTATAGATGAATCCTCAGAATTCATGTTGAGAAATTAGTGTAGGAAATTCCAGATCAGAATTTCTGTAAAGAGAAATCAATTCTTGCAGAGCACAAGCAGATGAAGTTGCAGAAGTATTCAACTAGGGATGGCAATCAGGCTCGCCGGCTTGGGCCGCCCGTGACTCGGCTCGGGGCTCGGTAGACCCAAGCCTAGGCTCGGGCTGAGCCCCATTTTGGGGACACGGGCATTGCCCGAGCCGGCCCGTGAGCTCGCGAGCTTTTTAAAAAAATAAATTTGAGGTTGCCTTGATAGCAGTTTTGCTGGCTTCAAGGTAGCAGTTTAGGAAAATAAAAAAAGGGGGGGAGAAAACGAGCCTGCTCGACTCGACCTGAAAAAAGCTCAAGCAAAAGCTCAGGCTGGGCCTTTTTCCGGCTCAAGCCCGCAAAAAAGCTCGGTCATTTTAACCGGCCAAGCCCGAGCCGAAACTTCAGGCTCGCGAGCCGGCTCGGTCCGGCTCGTTTACATCCCTATATTCAGCTAGACGAAACTAGCTCTGATACCATGTTGAATTGCAAGATTAACTGGAGAAAATCAACCAAAGAAAGAAAAAGAGAGAGAAAGCAACTTGAAGAAAAAATTCATATTTCATTGATGATCTTCGTTGATAAGATACAAGCCATATTTATACTAGGAATTGAACGGCTGAAACAACAAACTAAACTAACTAAACAAACTAAAATTAAACTGAATAACAATAACGACTAGCTTCTTTTCCCAGTTAGTTTTTCTTTCATTTTTTACTTCTCTTCATTCCTTTTTATTTCCATGTTTTCAATATGAGATGCAAGACTCCAACAGGATGAGCGGTTACTAATTAGATTCTATCACATAGAACTAATTATATTTGATTATTATAATTAACAAATAGATACATCCATGACTTTTTGGCCCCAAACATTGACAACTCCTTAACGCCCTAATCAACAGCTCCACATGATATTTAGATAAATACTATTATAATGGTTTTACTTTCTCGTGTTTGTCTATCTTTAACATCATGGAACATGACAATATTCAAGGTCCAGGTCTCCTACCAACAAAACAACCTGGTTGGGGGAAGATGGGTTATTGTAAGCAAGAAACTGTGAAAAGATGTTGAAAAAGAATAACACAAACTAAAAAACCACCCTGTAGGGCATGACACATATTTTCCATCTCCTAATCAAAATTGGGTTTCTCCTTCATAGTGACCAATTCTAGCACTGCATCATGATCTTTCACACGAATCATCCTCAAACATAGTTAAGGCAAAAAGATCCACGAACTTCTTGATCAATCGTATATTGAATCCTCAAGTATTCTTCTTTATTGTAGTACACCATGTTTAATGTCACTCTGGTGTCTTCGAGGTAAACATATGGCCAAGAAGCCATGGGAAAGAAAAATCAACATAAAAAAACTCAATTCCATAAAGAAAAATTCAGATCCCCCTAAAAAAAAGAACTTCGATTACCCCTAAAATGCCCTCAGACAACATTTTCGAATTGAAATTTTTTTGACAACGCCGGTGTTGGACCAATTAATGTGGCCCATATAATATTATCAATGAATTTATTAAAGTGGTCTATGTGCTAAAATCCAATTGGCCAATTTCAGAAGTGACAATTTTATAACCATCTACTTTGATAGAAAGTGGATAGTTTTATGACCCATA